TCACATGATTCACAGATTGACCTTTGTACCAGACCTTTGTACTCCAGGAGACTTTGCACAACTTTACTCTTGTCCTAACGCTTGTTTCATTAACTTAAGTTTATAATGCTATGGGCATGTATAAACTTGCTTGAATCCTTAATTATGTCAATCTTCAATTATTCATTTATCTTACTACCATAGCTTTTCTAAATGCCAGGTGTCATTGTGACGAAATTGTTCATTTAGAATTTATGAGGAAATGATATTCAGAGGAAAAAGTTTCTTCGTTATTTGTTTGGAGTTTTAATAATGGCCAATTTACGCTGTATGATTGGCTAAAATCCCGTTTCCTGGATGGAAAGTCTCGTTTCTGGATACACAGTGCGATACGACGAAAATTTTTCCACAAGAAAACGTGAAAAAGTCAAGACTGTCGTTAAAACCAGGATTTAACGTTTGAATTGATTGGGAAAACCCAACTTTTCTTGACTTTTGCACGAGAATTTGGCCCTTGTTAGCAAGCTTCAAAATGCCCCTTTCGTTTGACTGAATATATCCGCAATGCTCCTTTCTATTCTTTTACATTATCTTTCTAACGAACGAGTCATGAACACTGATCATTATTGTTCCATGAAGCCAATCACAATACACGATCATTTTAGGTTGGTATTTACTCGCTCCTTTTATTTACGTAGGTTCGGAGACGAAGAGACAGGGATCGTGGGATGTCAGTAAGTATTTACGGCTACTAACAATATTTATTCGCAAATCGCAATATTTGTAGTTTTATCTTATATTCCAAAGCTAACTAGTGAAATACAGGGCCGTCGCCATATAGGATGGTGGGGGTGATAACCGATTTGCCGGCAAATTGTTTTCGTAGTCAGGGAACATATTTGAGTGGTTCGGATAAAAAAGTAATGGTTATAGCAAAAATTTTATAAATAGCTATACGAAAATATTACCGAAAAATGGTATGTTTAATAATATATACTAGAAACTATATTTGCAAAAAGGTTATTAATTACCAGAAAAAAGGTTAATTAGAAATAACCCAAATAGGGTTATCGCTAGGAATTCTAACCAGGAAATTGTTAATCAAGTATTTTTAAAGTGTAGAACACCAATATTTGACAGTAACACTAACTTTTTTATTCTTTTACTATTAAGGTAAACACATACGACTCGTCACGACCAATGAAAGACCGGTTCTAATATGGACGACGATGTATTCCCTTTGTTATTTTTTAAACTTTTTTATATGCTAATTACCCGGACATGTCGCATAATATGATAATCATCTTTTTTGATAATACAAGCAAATCAGCGATCTTCTTGAAAGAATGAAAATAACCCATTGTGAGTATAGGTTAATTCGATCCAAAATTAATATAAGTGATATTAATAAATGATTCTAACTTTTGCATAGAGTCTTACTGTACTTATATACAAAGTGTATTAATTAATTATCGGGAGATGGGGTCTTTTCTAGCGTGGTATATGCTTTCTTAATATCACAAGCCGAAATGTGTATATGATTCGATCACGGATTTCATGAAGATAATTTTACTATTGCACCATGCATAAACATTCATTATTTGCATATTATATAACGCCTCATTAATTCAAATTCTGGTTACTTAATTGGCTTATTATGATCTCGTGATATGGAATTAAAATTCTCATTTTGCTATCGTGCAATATAGTACTTGTACTATACTACTATTGCACTGTCAGCCGTGCACTTGTACTACTATTGCACGGTAAGGTTTAATTAAATTCAATCATTCAAAATCTTATTCTTATCGTGATCGTAGCTCATTTAAGTACGATTTTTATACTAAGCCGATGGAATTAAATTCAATTTCATAACTCGTGCGAGGAAAAATGGCTGGTGTAAAAATACAATATTTTTAGGACAACTTTTACGATAATATTTACGATAGATGACCGCCATTATATATCACATTATTTCTTCACTAAAACATTTGTTAGCATTTTATGTTGGATTTTAATTATTTTCGAACAAGGTATGTATATTTGTTTTGTATTTAATTCACTTTAAAATTCGATAAAATTTATCTATTTTCAGTATTAAAATAAACAGTATTCATATAAAACAAATAATGAATGTTTTCATTCGTGCAATAGTAAAAATATTTTAATTTGGTGAAAGATGAACTTTCCATTGAAAATGTTCACCTCGTGAAAATTTTTGTACTATTGCATTCATAAACATTCATTATTTGTATAATATCCCTTGATTATTGGTTGTCATTGGTTAAATGCTTCATCAAAGCATATTACACAGTCTGTATGATAGAAAAAACTTTTACACCTAAATCAAACTAATTACAAAGCTATAACTAAATTTGATGTCTTATATATCCAATTAGTTCTTCGTAGTTCGCTTACCAAAAATCTTTCTATCCGTAAGCCCGGATCACCACCTCTAAATAGTTATTTTAATCAAGTGATTGCTTTATACATGCAGAGCGCATAAAAAAGATAATCCAGTTGTGACAGGTTATCGTGTGTTAATTATTAGGGTTATAGGTTTTCTGTTTTCGTATTTATATAAAGATCAGGCTTTTAGCTGTCAAATGACATCTTTATGGAATCATTGCGATAAAAAGATCAAATACGATCTGATTTAAAGTGGTCGGTTGAAATTGTATTTTTCTACTTTTACAGTTTTAGATTATATTATAAAATGTTATTCCAATTTTCGAACATTTGCCCAAGTGGTTGTTGCCCGAGTCTGCAAACTTCCAGTTCTGTAAAATGTTTTAATTAACCACTCAATTTCGATGCGAAATTGCAAGTAGAACTTTACCAAAACTTGATGCTTACTTATGCGTTGCGCCATCTTGCCGAATTCAAGCGACTTCAACTTGAATCCCAAATGAGAATAATTTTAATTCTCAGACCATAACTTTACATGCAATTCCTAACGGTGGAAAATGCGATTTCGTGCGGACATAAGAAAAGTATCATTCGACAGCTAAAAGCCTGATTTTTGTTGGTATGAAAAAAGTAAATGGTTTTAAAATGTAATCTGTATTTCATGATCACATGCCAAAGTTGGATAAACTTTTTTATACACCCCAGCATAGGGGCGCTTACCTGATCAAAACACACCTTTGACCGTTGTGCAAAGGCTAACAAGTTGCTTGGCTTCCTGCGCAGATCTGCTGTGGAAGTCATAAATCCAAACACCCGCCGCACGCTCTACCTGGCAATTGTGCGTCCTGCATTAGGCTACGCCACCCAAGTCTGATCACCGCAGTCAATTGAACTAGTCGGAAAGACAGAGCGCGTTCAACGCCGAGCTTCAAATTCATCCTTAGCTGCCCTTCACGTGTGCAGAATCCTACAAAGACAGACTGATGTCTATAAATCTGTTACCAGTCTCGTATTTTTTTTTTATTTTTTTTTTTTTTTTTAACAGCTTTATTAGGAACTTAATATATTACATTAATAAGGTACAAATACAACAAACATGCAGTTCCTAAACGGGAAAATAGCGAACGGGCCATAATAGCCCATGCGAGGCTACCTCCCGATTTGACTTCTGTCGACATTTACAAATTTACATAAAATTTAAAATTTAAAATCGTTGAAAGCACGTTTACACACATTCAGGCCAAAGTGATAGGACCTGTGTTAAAATAATTTTTGTAAGCCAGATAAAACGTATTGGCATGAGTATCTTGACTTGATTTTATTTTTAAGGCCATAAATGGTATTATAACTGTTCCGAAGGAAATCTTGCCGAAACGATCTATTCCCTCAAGGCTTACTCGATCATCTTCAAATAACAGCGTTATCTCGTACCGTCCTCGTAGATGTAAGACAGCCACCTATCAACGGTCATTTTTTTATTAGAGCAACTAGAACCTGGAACTCCTTACCCGAACACTTAAGACTAGATCATTTATCTCTAACGTTATTTAAAAAGTCACTATTAGAATACTACCATAATGCCCGTGTATCTTGTTACGACGTGGATGATGCTCGAACCTGGAAAACTGTTTGCCTGAAGTGCAACACATCGCGCAATCTAATCGATGCCGATCCCTGTTGCTACTAGACTAATTAGTTGATTTTTTTCTCCGTCTGCATGTAATTTGTCACTAATTTTAGCTAAAGGGCCCACAGTAATTGGTGTAAACTGTTGTGGTGTCCCCGCCTCTTGTTATGTCTCATGTATATGAATTGTTGTACTTGTTTTGTGTACATTTTTGTCAAGGCGAGGCTAAATAAATAAATAAATAAATAAATAGATAGACAAGAAATGAATCATCTCTCAAGACTTATCACTGGTGGATCGTCCATCTTAGTTTAATTAAACATAAGACGGACGGACTATCCACATGAACTAGTTAGAATCGTGCAATCTATACTGGCAACCATGCAGTCCTGAAACAAAATGTACCATCTTAGTTTTGCTGTGAAAATCCACAAACTACGAGCATAAAAGTAGCTAAATACGGGTATATCAAATCATATGTTTTTCCAGTTAGGGTCGTTATTTGTGGCGGGGGGTGGCACCGAAGGGAAAAGGGATGGGTAAACAAAATTTTGAGTGGGTTAAAGCAAATGAGTAAATGAAAAACAAAACAACTCGAGGGTTAAGTAGTAAAAATATATATTGTTATTCTCTCTAAGAAACGTTTTTAAAATTTAAAAAAAATCATACGAGAATGATCTTTTATGCAAAGTTTTAAAAAAATTACCGAAGGGAATTTTTAAAATGGCCGGAAAAAGACAAATTTTGAGCTTTATTCTAAGCACGCTGTTGCCATGGTAACGGAGTTTCAGCATAAAAGTAGCACATTGCATTGTTCAGGAGAGCATTGTCAATGTGTCCAACAAATTTCGTCTTCATGTCATGTAAAGTGAAGAAACAAGCATTTTCTGGATACAAAAGTGTAGTATATTTGCAAAAACCCTAGGGAACCACCTTAAAATAGTTTTTGTTATTATGTTATGATTTTTAAACGCAGAAATCAGTCGTAGTCATTCGTGGTCTCTTGCGTGTACTTTTAGACAAGACCAGAATGGTCAACTTGTTATCGTTACGTAACTTTGCGAATCTCGTTGCCATTAATGAGTTACAGAGAAGCCCGGAATTTTACTGGTATCCCTTTACTAAAAGCAAGGAGAGAAACATTATGTGAACAATTTTTTAAAAAGAATGAGAATAACGATAAACTAAGCGAACTAATGCATCATAAAGCAACAGCAGACTACGATATGCGACCAAGATGCAAGTATAACAATTATCTATGTAGAACTGAACGTTTTAGGAAATCGTTTTTTCCTCAAATTATTTCCAAAGAAAACAGGAAATAACTGAGTAGAAGTATAGGCCTATTGTTTTTTGCTACTTTTGAACTCTTAATATTCTTAATAATGTAATATAACGATAACTTAATACTTTTTAACAGTAGATTACAAATTTTGTAAAATTCTTATGTAATTTAATTAACCTATTGGTTATAAAATCAGTTTTTAAATAAATAAATACTAAATACTAAAGTTACTTTCCATACATTTTGTGCTAAAACCTGGACGATGGACGATTTTTATTTACAGTCAAAACACTAAAACCCGCACACTTCCGCTCTTGTACTTTGTTGTCATTTATTGTATATTTCGTTGTGTATTAATAATAATACTAATATTGCAATATACTTGTAACAAAGAATGGCTTTTCCGTAAGATTCACTGCATATAAGTAGCAACATTTAACTTTTATTATTGATAACGCATAATTTGGTAGCCGCTAAAGTAATACAAAACAAAATATAGTTTATGATAACAAAATTATAATATATTGCTTTTATTAACTATCATTTATTGTTTATATATTGCTTTATTATTGTTGACCATTAAAATTGCTGAAGCAGTTTCCATCAATAACACTAAAAATTAAAACAAATATCGCGTTCCCGCCAAAAATTGCGCGGGAATTTCTTTTTGCGCTTGCCAGGCTAGCCTCATGTAAAACAAATAACAACTTGGCCCGGCAAAGCGAGCTATCCCGGTTTAACGGGCTAGCCCGGCTCTGGCCGCGTTTAGACTATGACGCTACGGTAAATTTACCATAGCGAAGTGATTTAGTTGCATCCGGAGTGCCAAACCATAAGCGGGCATAGCCTATCGAAGGGAAGATGGCAGTATGAAACTCATTAGAATAACAATATAACTTATTATCTATGTTAGTCAACATTTATTCATAAATCTGGTCCTTCATCGTCACGTGTGTATTGTATTTTTGCTAAATCCACCAATAGCAATTTCCAATTTCCCTATTGTTCGAGTCACGGATAGGTAACTTTCCTAAAACATTGCTATTGGTTAGTTGGGAAAAAATACAATGTACACGTGACGGTGAAGGACCAGATTTATGAATAAACGTTGACTAACATAGATAATGAGTTATATTGTTAATATTCTAATGAGTTTCACAGCCATCTTCCCTTCGATAAGCTATGGCCAAACTTATATATAGTGGTCTGTAGTTAATACGCTACGGCAAACCACTCCGTTATAGCACAGTATAGGGAAACAACAGTAGGGTTCAGTAGGGCCACTCAGCATCAAAAATTAGTGCCCGCTGCCCACATTGTTTACTGGCTGCTAAAGCCTGGTTCACATAAAATCGTTAAGCAGTCGCAGACTGTCGCAGACATGTGCCGAATTTTTATATGAACGATCTGCGACGGATCGGGAAAGTCGAATCAAGTTCAACTTTCCCGATCCGTCGCCGATCCGGTCTCAGACAGTCTGCGCGAATCTGCATTTGTGTTCAAATAAAAATTCGCAGGGATGCCGGAAGTTGCTGAGGGCAAGGGGTGCAATTGGTTAACAAGAGGGCATACTCCTTAACAAAAAGGCACCAATGAAAATGAAAGGGCGTCATGATTCTACATTCGTGTCAAGCTCCCTCCCCGTCACCAAATTGTTTTGGACCGAATACAATTATTTAGGCACAATTTCTCCGTAATTTCTCGTAAATTCCATAAGTAATGCTTTCCGTTTCACCTTTCGCCAAATGGCTAACAACTTTGCCGAATTCCTGACGACTGAGGGGTGGAACACCCCACACACATCCTCAAGCGACGTTTAATTCTGTCTGTTGTAAAAGTTTTTTGCACCCGTCACACCCATAGTCTGCACCCACAAAGTTGAAAATGCAAAAGGCAAGGGGTGCACTTGCACCCGCTGCACCCGTGGTTCCGGCATCCCTGAAAATTCGGCACATGTCTGCGACTGTCTGCGACTGCTTAACGATTTTATGTGAACCAGGCTTAACCTGATTAACATATTGACAGCCAGTAAACGGCATGTGCTAAAACCTGGACGATGGACGTCCATGGACGATGGATGTCCATGGACGATGGACGATGGACGCCATCGTCCAGGTTTTATTGGACGATGGACGTCCATCGTCCAGGTTTTAGCACATGAATTACTATCAAAATGAAGAGAAAAGTGAGATGAATATACTGGTAAACGGCCGAAAAGAGAAAACCAACGATACCAAAGTTGTTTTTGTTTGTGGAAACACCACGTAAATTGTACGTGGTGTTTCCACAAACAAAAACAATTATATTTTATCGCCATGCAAACATTCAAAGAACTTGATACCAAAGTTATATCAAACGTACTGCAGCATTTTTAATTACTGTTTAATAATTTTGAGCGATTTGTCAACAATACAATTTCGCAAGGCCATAAATCGCTAGAATACTGTTGTTTAGTAATACATTTGACATCCGTAAGTACAATTTCTTACGCTGAATCGAACGGTGGTATTTTATTTTGATCGGCTTGTCTTTCAAAACACATGAATCGCTGGAATAGAAAATTAATCAATTTTGAAATCAATTTCCCATCCGTAAATACAACGTTTTACTCTGCTTCGAACAGTGGTATTTTTTTTGTCCATGTTTGGTGCATATAAAGATAAAGCCCAGCAAACAGTCGGTCATGAGAGTCCAAGATTAATTAATTTTCCCGCAAAAATGAATAAATTTCGAGCACGTGCAAGGAATTTTTACTAGGCGATTAAGGAAACGTATTGATGCGAACACACTAACAAACGGACAAACAAACGGACAAACTCACATGCAGAATATACTGTAATGCGGTGCCAAACTTGGGCACCGCAATTTCAGTAAGTAAGGTCATTAAGGTGTGTCAAATTGATAGTATAGTGACGAAGTGATAGCCGGAGACTGAATTTGGAGACTGAATTTGTTGAAACGGCTGTAGCTAAATAAAAATCGTCCAATAAAACCTGGACGATGGACGTCCATCGTCCAATAAAACCTGGACGATGGACGTCCATCGTCCATCGTCCATAGACGTCCATCGTCCAGGTTTTAGCACATGCCAAAAATTGCACTGTGATTACAGAAAATTGCACTGCTGTTTGGGATTAACTGCACTGAAATCAACCAATCACAGTCGAGTAATATCTTTATGTATATTATTAGAACATAAACAATTTCACTTAATACTTTAGGGCGATTAAAAATTGAAAACAAAATGTTGAAATAGAATGATAGAATCAAAAACTTCTATATTGTGTAAAGCAAGGCGGACAGAAACAACAGTCAAATACCCTGCTACTGCATGGGGCAATCATGGTTCTGGAAAATTTGTTTACTTAAATTTAACAAGTTTAATCACTTAAAGATAATAGAAATTGACTGGTGTATGAATATCGGCATATTGTTGAAAAGAAACGGTCAGAAACAACCACCATGCGGCAAATAAACCGCAAAAAAGTGCGGTTAAACGTACTCATTTCCTATGGGCGACCGCGGACCAACATGCATTCGCAACCATGCACTCACAACATCATAGCACTTCGCCACAAGTATCTCTTTCATGTACTTAGCAAAAAAACAACTTTATAATATGTCAGCTTTAAAATGACACGAAAATACCCTTTTTTTAATATTTCGGTGACCGGTTTGCATTTTATGTATTTCTACTAAATAATTAAGGTGACTTTTCGGAGGAGAGAAGCGACAATTAATCAAAGTTAGGGCCACGAATCGGGCAATGGTTCCGATTAGGATTGTACTAACATTGGATCTTGGCGTATTTCTTAATGCGTAGATGACCAAGTGATGACCAAATGGACTGAAACTCGCAATCTTGGAGATAACCGGCAGAAACTACCTTTCCCTTTATACAAAATTCACATACCCCTCGTGATAAATTCCATACTGAATCATGTTGCGCTTCTTAATTTAAGAACCCGCTCCTCCAAATCAATGCTGAGCTTGTCTTGTGGTAATTTTCCGAAAAGTTGTTTCGTCGTTGTCTACAACATTGAAGTGAGGGGGAGGGGGGTGACGAAGTTTGTTTTTTCAATGTATGCTAACTTTACAATATTGGCTGGAATGGCCTCAAGGGTTAAGTCCAAGATTGCAGGTGTGGAAAACGTTTGTATAGCTTTTTCAAATTTTGCTTTGTTCTTGAAATATTTTGACCAAAATCCTTATAGATTAGTGAGTTGACCGCAGACTCACAATAGATTGTGAGACACAAGATTTACATTAAGCTTACCAGTTGACTTTAATCACATGTCATGCAGTCACCAAATCTATTAGCATAATTAGACCCCCATTCCTAAACATAACCCTAACGCTAATTATATTTAAATATATTTGGTGACTGCCATAATCACTGATCACGCACGTACCCAAAATCATAATTCGGTCACTATTTCAAGTAAAAAATTGACTGGAAACATTTTAAATACCTACTAGTAATTGTTATTTGGTTACCTATAGGCCATATCGTTTTCACTGTTTGGGCGTCACTAAAACCACCGCTATAATACGAGATGAAAAATTAGCCAAGATGGCGGCGAGCTCTTTGTTGTCCGTCCATAATATTCACTAAGTAACTGATACGAAAAGTCGGTAACGAAGTAAATTTTTATTGCTATATATATCCCTTCGAATCTAGAGTTAATTTTCAATAAAGATTTCAAGAATATTTAATCCCATGTATTTAGTATACTGACAACAAGTTATAAAAGTTAATCATTATAAAAGCTAGGTAGTTACACATCAAATATATTTAAAACGTACTGTGTTATAAAGTCGTAATTAAAGTCTAGGCATAGCAGCAGGAACACCAAGGTCTACATACAGTGCAACATCCGGGGAAGGCATCATCATTTTTCTCTGCATCATTTAGAGTGAAGGGTAAAAATGCTGTAACGATCAAAGTCTAAGAAAAATAATTTAATTAATGTGTATTATAGTGTTATATTTGACATTCTCTGTAAAAATACTGTAAAGCGTAAACGATTAATATTAACACCAGGGGCCGGTTGTATAAAAACGTAATTAGCGCTAACTGTAGTTAGCGTTAATCACTGTATTTAAATCCTTAACTGTAATTATAGTTAACTACATGACTTAACTGCGTTGCACAAAACGTAGTTAGTCGGATAGTTAACTAATCACGTAGTTAACTGTGCGTGGGGCGTTTAAACCCAAAATTACATAAAGTAAGCAGCGAGTAACGACCGCTGACACACATTTTCACCATGATTGTGGACTCGCATTTTGCAAATAGGCGGGAATTTTATTCAAAACACTAGAAAACTGTGAAAAATAAACAAGAAAACAAGGAAAAACCGCCACAAAAATCATAAAAGAATGCAGTTTTTCCTTAATTGAGATGTCTACGTTAAACGAAGGTCTAGCTGCTTGGCAATTACAGTGTTTCAGTAATCAGTGTTTCTTGGTGTAATGGACCATAGTTCGTCTTTGAGAAATCGTCCTGTGCAAAAATATGTTCTGTTTTCGTAAAAACACCAAAGCGATAGCGTCTGAAGAGTTTACATTGTCAGGAAACATTCACAGGGAAGATAGCGATTGAAAATATCATGTAACCGTTGCTTTTCATTATTGTTTACTGAAAAATGTTGTTCACTCCTATACAAACGCCATTTTTAACTACGTTTTGGACAGTGAACTATACCCTAAAGCATAGTTAACTTTAACTACTTTTTAACTGCAGTTATAAGGGCTAACTACACTTTTATACAACCGGCTTAACTACGTGCACTGATTAAAGTTAACTATTTTTTAAGGCTTTTTAACTACTTTTTAACTGCAGTTAGCGCTAACTACGTTTTTATACAACCGGCCCGTGGGGGTGGTTATTACACTTTTGATACAGTACTTAACGGGGGCCGGGTGACATGGGCGGCGCTAGAGGAGGATGTGTAAGGGGGGGGACACCCTCTGCTCAGTCGTCAGGTAGTCGACAAATTATTAATTTATCCCAGTCGGCAAAACCTGAATTGGATAGGAAGAAAAAACAACTTAATCAAACAGTATTAGAACAGTTAATAAATATATTTATAAAATTAATGCAACAACGCATGCTTGAACATTGAAATGTAATGTATTTTAATGAATGTAGTTATAATATAGCATTTGTAAATTCTGAACGCTGATTGGCTAAGAGCAGTGTTGATATAACTCAATGTCAACACGGAAACGTGGGAAAATTTCTTTCTTTCTATTTCTTTGTGCTATATTATAAAACAAATATAAAACATTTTTTCCGTATTGATATATAGTTATATCAACACTCGTGGAAATGGGAAAAACTCGAAATTGTGTGAAAACACTCCGCCCTTCGTTTTCCAAAATGTTTTATAGTTACACTGGCCTGTAAGGCCAAGTGTCTTAAATCCCCCTTTTTCTTTGTTTTTTTTCGTAGTCGAGAAATCGAGTTTGCGTTAGCTTATCGCAGGCTCAGGGTGCAACGATTAAGCCAAAATGCCATCGATTCCCTCGGTTCCATGATTTAGATAATATAGTAATAAGCTCGTATATATGTACGTAATAGCCGACTCATGCCATGCTTGTGGTACATTTTTCGTTTATTAGCCTATACACTTGTACGCACGCGCACAGAGTGATCAAACTATATTTTACACAGTTTCGTTGAATTTTCAAAGAATCGTGCCGGTTTCCTATGTATTTTACATTGTGTCGTACTCTGGACTTTCTTGCGTGTTGAATTAATGTGTTTTTCTTTGTGTAATGACTCGAAAACCACAAAATATAATATTTAGTACTCCACGAAATATAATCCGCGCGAAAAGCTTTGTGGTAGCTATACTAAAGATAAAGCGTGCGTTCAAAATACCAACAAGAACTAGAACCATTATTGTATCATTTGCATGGTTCTCATTTGCTAGACTTGCCACAAGTCGACCTCGAAGAAACGCATTTCGTTCGAGGTCGAGTTGTGACAGTCTACTCATTTACAATAACATTAGTTCGACGCGAATTTTAATACAAGTATGGTATCATATTTCATAATACAACAAACAATGTAAACTAGCCATACATTTTGCCGAACATAACTTCGGCCCCTTTGGACATATCTTTTTCGTGATAATGTTATTGGAACCAGAATCGAAAACACTATTTATAGTGTTATTTTCAAGCTGGTGTCTTGAGATTTTCATCTTTTATTTCGGTATTTACAGAATATTTATATTTTTAGCGCGGCCCATGGAACGCACATGAAAACAACGCGCTGTTTGGAAAAACCGGAAATCGATTCTGTAGGTCGGCATGATTTGCACGTGCATCGATCTCCATTACGTCTCCCGAAAAGGTCTTTTATTTTTTTAAAAATTAAAAATTGCTTGCGGTTTAAGATTTGCAAAAACATAAAATTTGCTTGCGGTTTAAGACTTGTATTCCTGCCTTTTGCACCATAACACGTATCTCGTTATTTTCAGGCCAGTGTGAACGCCTGAGCAAGCGTCTTGTTGTTAAATATAACACAAAATTAAAAAGGAAAAAAACTCAAATATTTGGAGTGAAAACTAGTAATTATAGCTCAAATTTTGGGGAAATTTACGGAAAGATTAGTTAACGAAAAACTAAACGAGTACAGGTACGTAAACACAAAAGCTGAAAATGAAACTTTCATTAATTAAGCAATTTTTTAAATATTCATTTGCGAGGGGTAAATTACTATGAAAAAAGCGTACGAAGATTTTTGGGATTAGAAAATCCCGGCAATTTTCCTCGGGATTCTGGGATTTTCCCCCTCAAATTTAAGGGATTTTGGGATTTTTTTCAGCTGATTTTTTCGAAATATTTTCCCTTATTTTTTTTCGCCGAACTTTTTCCGAATTCTTTTAAAACTAAATAAATCAACGAAGGGGATTTTCACGCCAATTCACGATTTAAATGTTTAAATTTGATGGGATTTCCCAATATTGCAATAATTTTGAGGATTTTCAATTCGTTTTTTTCCAAGTATTTTTCGCAATTTTTAGAGATTTCTTGGGATTCTGGGATTTAGTAAGATTTTGGGATTTTTCCAAAGATTTTTTTTGATTTTTGATGAAGTGCACGAAAATTTTCCGAGTAATTTACCCCTCGTTCAGTTGTGGAGAAGACTCAGCAAAATCTGTGTCAAAGCGGATGCCGCCACGCGCTGATTAATCAAGTCTAACGAGCGTGACTCACGGTGTGACCAACGCGTGATACACGCATTGCAACCAGATTGAAATAGGATAATGCTATGTAGCGAAACCGCGTCGTATTACATAAACATATAGATATCTATTATTTCAACTATTTTAATTCGTATTACAAACGCACAAATTTAGCAAGATTTATTTCGAACATTTCTAAGGCAATATCGTGACGATAATTTTAATCTTCGCTTGGGCTCGTCTGCATATGGAATTTCCCTCTCTCCCCTAGATCGCCCTAGCTCTTCATGACTATAACTATGATTATATGTGTAACTATAACTACGTGACTAATATGACTATGACTACATGCATGACTACATGACATGACTATTATGACCAATACTGTATTTTGTGAAGTGTCCCGCCACTGCATGAATCAGAACCAAAGAACGCCTTTTGTACAATGGGTTTTATGTGTTTTATTTTCGATACAAAGTGTTTAATTTAATTTAACAAAGAATTACAAAATTTAATTTAACAAAGTATTACAAAAATCTGACATTACTGGGGTGCATATAATATTAGTATGGGACTATGTTTGAGGGTGAGCATTTATTTGAAGTTCCCATTATAAAGCCGGCAATAGAATTGGGAGTTAAATATAATACTTACGAAGTACATCAAGTACATTAAGACTTTTCTCCATGACCACATTGGTTCAGTGTTGGATTCAGCCATGTTTGACCAGCAAATGTGATGATTACGAGAAACAACTGAAAGCACAGGGCTAAAAGTCAGATAAACGAGTATATTATTATTTTGTTGTTTTTTAACAAGTGAAATTTATCGCATCATTCGGACAGAAGGATGTTTGTTATTAATCTGTTTGTTTTCTAAGCTGTTTGTTATTAATAGGCATATCAGAGTTTACATACACTGGTGAAATTCAATGGTGTTTACGACAGTCCCTTTTGTTCTTTTTGCATGCCGAAAAATGTCTTTTTATTTCCTGTTTATTGTTCTACTCTTGTGAAAAGGCAACTAAAATCGATTCCGATTTACTTGTTTATAAGTGCTTTAATTATTCTATATCCGTCCTTCTTTTATTCTGAAATCTTGTTGTAATTCAGTTTTTGTTCTTAAAATGTGTCTTTTGGTCAGAAATAGAAGCAGTCTCGTCGACGTATCGTTGTGTTTACTAAAGCTGTCTAATTCAGTATTGATAACGTCATGAATAGTCAGTAAGAATTAATTTAAGATTCACACACAATTTTCCATCAATAAATAAACGTTTCCCACATAGCTACACAACCTCGTCTCACCCCAACATATCATTTCACATGCGAATTTTATGTCAAATCGCATGGATTTATTTACGAAATAAAGTACAAAACAAACGTTGTTACTCAGAACTTCATGCCTGAGTTTACAGATAATCTTCGGACAACTAAAGTTCTGTTGACTAAATTTAACCTTTTGGTTTTGTTTGTTTGCGCGCTTGGGTGCTTTCGCGTTCTTCTGTCGTGTATGATGGCGGGCGTTGTTCGATTGCGCGCGAACTGTACTTTCCCACCAGATTTTCTACGCCTCGTAAATATTCACTTTCCTAAATTATCTGCCCTCAACAAAATGTTCAACAGGATTGCATCTGACTATTTGTTTTCCAACGAATTCATATATTCCTATATAAATACAGTTTAAATTTTGTTCAGCAAGATACCCGTCCTTTAACTAGGGCTAGTTGAATCTCCCCACCAAAGGAATTAATTGGATTGTGAAGAGAAGATCTGGATCCTTGTAAGCACATTATCGCAGATCTTAACAATGAAAAGCTAAGGTGGCACCTTAGCCAGTTTAGTGTCTTACGTTTCTATATGAATATGGCTTGCCGTGTTTTTCAGCGATCAAGGATGCAATTCTCTTGTAGACAACGTTTGCAATGGCACCCATACCACCCGCTGTCTAGAAGACGAGCGAAGAAAATGACCCGTGTTCTACTTCTCTAATTCTTTCGTCGTATGCTCTTCTTTTCTCCAGTTCATTCCTACGATAGCATTGTGCAAGGGAGGAGTTTCGACTGATAGCTTGGTGCGAAAGGGTTGAACACCCTGACGTCAAAAAATGCACGCTGCCGATCGCGCCCCCAGAAACATTCTGCTACAACATCCAGTCAAGCACCATCTTCTCTATTTGCTGATGTGTATAAGAACGCTCCATCAGTTACAGGTTGTAGGCCTGCATGGTTCAACACCAACTCCATAGCATACCTCCGTCACACATAGACCAACTGAACATGATTTAAAAGATGTACATATATACTCGTCGCCAAGACGCAGATGGCCATGCATCTCCTTCTGTTTTAATGGCCGTATTCTGTATTAACTGAGTGTGGTTCCATGTTGCAATCCCCATTTAGTATCGCCGATTGAACAAGTGGTATATTAGATGGATGCTTCTCTAAGAGGACTTGGGATTGTCAGGGGTAACACAGCTATCTAAGGTCAAACATCCTGCATTGTCTTCCGATATTATCCGAAGTGCTGCTCTTACTTTACCTTGCATCATCAACTTTGCGAAAACTCTCGCAGTATAGGACCGCTGCTTATATTGTTTGACTAAGCGTTTTTGGGTAGCACGACCCTTCAGAGTCTACGATTCAGATACAAAGTATGCTCTTTAGCCTTGGATTTGGGATGTGGTTTCTGGAGTAAGAAATCAGGCATAACCATTGTGGCTGTTAAGCCACACTCTCAAATAACGATATATCAGCATAATTCGCACACTTTCTCAACAATAAATAATTAATGCCTATATTTATTAGTGTCAAATAACAAAACTCATTCGCTTAATTAAAATACATCTTAAACTGAAGCCAATTTTTCCGTAATTGTTTTCGTTTCGGGGTTTTCGACTTTTTGGTGGTTTTGGTCGTTTTGTTTTGGCCGTTTCGGTGATTACGGTCGTTTCGTTCCGGCGGTTTCGTTTTGACGTTTCTGGTTTTAGAATATGCCTTCACAAGTTACATTAAGCTTCAAAAGTTCACAAATGCCTAGCAACAGCTGACGTAGAGGTAAGAATTTTCAGGAAAATTCGGTTTTCTCCAGTTAAATTAAGGGTTATCCTACCGGATAGTTAAACGTCTTACTCAACGGGCTTTGTGCAACGCAATCTTTTTATCGGCCGGTTAATAACTAACCATCGAATAAGGAATTAATACGCCGAATAGCGACCAAAGGCCGTTTAAGTTAAACACCTTTTGAACAACTGGCCCCAAAATCATGAAAATGTAGCAAATTACCAACTTTCGATAAACATTTGACGTAGTTTCTTGCGTGGTTTCTTTGCGTTTTGTGTGATTAGCTAAACAATCAAATTTGACATCACTTTGGGCCGTTGGACATAAATTAAAAAATAAAGAAATAAAAAATAGCCCGCACAAACCCTGCCACTTAAATAACGTATATGTACTATTCTGGATTGATCAAAAAATTTTCCCCGTTAGTTGCAATAAATTGCAATTAGGCCTACCAATGGCGTTAACTTCCAACGGCAACACCATCGCAACCGCACATACAGTATAATGATTAGAGCTGATTACAAAATAGCTATTTGAAACTGTATATTATTGCTGACGCAGCGAGGAGCCTGAAGCGAGCGAGCAAGTCAGCAGTTCGAATTCGTATTGGGCTCTGAAAGTAAGATTTTACTTCCGTTTCTCCGACCAGAATAACTGTTGTTAACCGACCAGAATGCATTGCTGTTAGCCTACCAGAATGCTTTGCGTGCATGATGCTATAAATGCGGGGAATCTCATTAGTCAGTTTATATAAGCCGGTAACGATGCAGTTCTTTTGGTATATTTTGTATTTCATTGTATGCCTCGTCTGTTGATTTCTCAATCTGGCTGGTCTTACACTATATATACTGAATTTGTTTATTACAAACAATTTAATTATAACGCTTAGAAAGCGAATTTATGCGTTTGTGCTCTTCGCCTTATTTTCGTTTGTCTTTTCTTATTTCATTTAGCACTTAGCAGTAAAATCAACATTGTATTTGAACGTCTGAAAGCGTTCATTTCAAGCATTAAAAGCGAATCAGTTATTGTCCATCAGTTTCACTTTGCTATAATTTAAATGGGGTTTAGGTTGTAGACCTTTTGTTTGAATATGATTTGACAATAAGGTAATTGACACGCGGAGACATGGCAATGAACAGTTCGGCAACTGCCAACTATGTTTTTAGAATGGCGTTTTAAAAGAACGATGCTTTGCGTACTATTTCATGGGTTAATTAATTGTACTTTCGCTGCCAAAAAGCATACTACACTATACTCAGTGCATACACATTGTTTAAGCATGCAACGCAATCAGGGGCAAGTCAGTAGGATCGTGCATGGGATTGAAGTATGTGCATTGAATATTTTTTATAACGAAACATTAAAAACAATGTCCTCAACTGTACAGGGTGAGTAAAAAAACCCCGACACCTTTGTTATTCAAATTAGCGCGAAGGTATCAGTTTTTTTTACTAGCTTATCCTGTACAGGCATAGATATCTTATATACACTATAGATAGTGCATCTAATTAGTCGACAATTCAAAAATTGAAGCCGTGATTGCAGACTCATGATATTCCCATGAAATGAGGAGATTCGTATGTTTTCTATTTCTTAAACACGGAACATAAATATTAAGGTAAACCTAACCCAGATATATTTTTAAACTATTCAAATGATGAAAGTTATTGTTGTTTTTAAGCGTTTATTAGCGAGTGGGAAACACCAACATGGCCGCCATTTATTCAAATGGGGGTAACCGCTGGAATATTCCTGGCTTCAATTTTACTAAAAGAGATGCGCTATCTATATGTGTTTTATATCTGACAAAGCACTCCTGCTCGCGTTTTAAATAGTACATACCGGACAGTCCGCACTCACTGTACAATTGTGGTCTAGTGTGATAGTTTGAAGTATATGTGTGGTCTTTAATCATACAGTGTATCGTTGTTGTGTAATTATAAGCATTGAATAACCTGTGTGGTCTTAAAATAATTATTGTCTGATATAGTGGTCTATAGTGAAAAGGTTCCAAAAATGGGTGAAAGTTTCCATACTATTGTCGTTCCGATGTCACAGATATTAGAGTAACGATAGGATAGAAAGATTAAAAAAAGTTTATGGTTAGATTCTCATGTTTCTCGCACAATAAAGCTATGGTTAGGGATGGGTTGTGATTACGGTCAAGATCAAAGATACATATTTGTGACCGAAACAAGGATTTATTCATATTTACAATTATGACGTCACAACGATTAAGTTAGTGTTGAGCTTACTGTCAGTTACGATGGGTTACGAGCTCATGAGATTGTATTTAAACTGGAGTGCATTGTTAATTTGGAAAGATGAGGCCGTTTTTTATATATCGTCAAATTAAGGAGCAAATCACCATTTATACTACTGATAAGTATACTAGTAGGTATAGTAATCAGTGCTTGAAAGCAAGTGTGAATCTTCGCCAAAATCACTTATAATAAAAGACCAATATGTGCTTTAACCAGCCAATGCAACTTATCCGAAAATATCAGCATTGCTTTATATAGTCTTTAGACGAGGTCTGATATTTAACAACACAGAGTCACAAAACATACGCAGTTGTTAATAACAACTTCTATCTTTAAAGTTTAACCCCATATTAAATTTAAAGTTCTATCTATAAAAATAGAATGTTTGGAATTACCTCTTTCCGGTAAATGGGCATAAATAAAACCAATGAAACCGAACGCTGCCACTTAAATAACGTATGTATTGTTCTTGATCGATCTGTCTGTATTAGAAGTTCAATTCGATCTGTCTGTATTAGAAGTTCAGGCATTAACCGGCAACCCAATCTCATGCAACAATGACATGCCACACTTGCCTCACAGATTAGAGCTGATTACAAAACAGCTATTTGCAATCGTCGAAACTTTACATGCATTAATCTGTGCTTCAAACACTCATTAATAATTCATGCATAAGCTTATTGGCAAATCATGTCAACCATAATATGTCACGTGCAGTGGCTTTAAACCTGATAAAACACTCCTAATTAATATTCTTTAAATAAAGAATACTAATAAGGCCGTATCTATTGTTGTTGTGTCCTCATTAGTGTTTTTTATATAAAGAATACTAATAAGGCGGTATATCTATTGAATTTGTAGTCGTGTTTGAAGCCGTTTAATAAACTCGCAGGTCGTGTTTTATTAGGTCTAAAGCCACTCGCGCTGCGCGCTCGTGTCTTTAAATCTAATAAAACACTCCAGTATATGAAGTTTTTTAGCGGACAAAATATCTGAAATGCATCAATCGAGTTTATGCGCTATAAATTGATGTTATGTGCTATACATTGATGTTATGTGCAAATACATCGATGTCATAAACCGATACAACTAAAAGATGAACCGATACAACTAAAAGATGAACCGATACAAATAAAAGATAAACCGATACAACTAAAAGATAAACCGATACAAATAAAAGATGAGGAAACGGAAGTAAATACCAATAAAAGATGAGGAAACGGAAGTAAATACCAATAAAAGATGAGAAAGCGGAAGTAAATCGGAAAAACTGAAGTTGAGCGACGCGGCGACATACAACAATGGCGTCTCTTGGACCACACATTTGGCTTCCTAATACAGAAAACGTTTTTCGTGAATTGGTTGATTTAATAAGAATGCTGAACAAAGTGTCGCACTCGTTGTGACTCGCCAGACTTTTATTGTCGTAGATTAGAAGAGTATGAACGCACATTGAGACTCAATGATTGAGTGTTTTAACAACAAGAATCACCGAATCATACACAACGGAGCAGTTTTTAATCAACAATCTACATATACTATGTACTTATTTAAATAGTTTACGAAATGAATTCGACGTTATTGTTGAAAATTATGAACGGACGTCAGAGCGCTTTTCACTAGAAGAGTCTTACGATCTGCGGTTTGTACGGCGGAAAGAAACGGGCTCGTTGGTAGGCCAAGAATACAAGTCACAGAAGAGCAGTTAACCACATTGCTTTTTAAGTTTAGATATAGGTAAAGAGAACCATATTGGTGTCCTAGTAATAAATTTATGCCACAATAGTCCCTAAATGTTACATCAAAAATGTAGTGTGAAATATGTTAGTGTGATGGTCTCGTGTTCAGTGGCACAATTTATGCTTGTGAAAATAATGTTGTATTTGATAAGCCTGAGAATAAAAAATAAAAAACCCACTTGTATATGTATAAATGTAAACCTAAGAAATATAAGTGTAAGTGTAGACTTTACGAACATAAAATTGGAGATGCGTGTGTGAAATTGTATCTGTAAAATATCCTGTGGTGTAAAAAAATTTGATCATACTCAAGGAGTATGATCTCGCTCTACTAAAAAGCTTGTATGGAGGCATGTAAAATATATAAGGCGAGAGAAGGAGATAGCCATGTGTGTAAAATTCAGTATCCCTGAAAGGCTGGCTGCGGCACAGGCGCATTATTTGGTACACACCGTACATACGAATTCTGAGTACGTGGTATTCGGAAACGAGAATTCAGTTCTTCGGGTAACGATGTGAACTGCTGCACTGAACCACCTTGTGTCTTGTGATGCGTTTTCTTCACGTGTTTGCGAAGAATGCTGTAAATTGGTCACCGCGCTTAAGATTGACTGAACAAAATCCTGAACATTTGGTCTTCTGCCCTAGCTGTCTCTCTTCTGCCTAGCCCTAGTTTGGCCTGCAGTTCTGCCCTTGTTTTTCAATATGTATTCTCCACTACTTGGCACGCGCAATTTTGCTGCGTCGCTCAACTTCCGTTTTTCCGATTTACTTCCGCTTCCTCATCTTTTATTAGTGTTTACTTCCGTTTCCTCATCTTTTATTGGTATTTATTTCCGTTTCCTCATCTTTTATTTGTATCGGTTTATCTTTTAGTTGTATCGGTTTATCTTTTAGTTGTATCGGTTTATGACATCGATGTATTTGCACATAACATCAATGTATAGCACATAACATCAATTTATAGCGCATAAACTCGATTGATACATTTCAGATATTTTGTCCGCTAAAAAACTTCATACCAGTACTTAGAAGCATCATAGCCTATCGAAGGGAAGATGGCTGTGAAACTCATTAACTCATTATCTATGTCTGTCAACCTTTATTCATAACCAGTGGTCCTTTCACAGTCACGTGTGTATTGTATTTTTACCAAATCCACCAAAAGCAACTTCCTGTTTCCCTATTGTTCGAGTCACGGATAGGTGAATTTCCTAAAACATTGCTATTGGTTAGTTGGGCAAAATACAATACACACGTGACGGTGATTTATGAATAAAGGTTGACCAACATATATAATGAGTTATATTGTTATTCTAATGAGTTTCACAGCCATCTTCCTTTCGATAGGCTATGGAAGCATTCAAGTGTAAATCTACTCCAAAATCATTTATAATAAAAGACTAATTATATTATTTGCCTTAGCCGATCAATGCAGTTTAGCCGAAAATATCAGTATTGTTTTATATAGACGAGGTCTGATATTCAGCAGCACAGAATCACAAAATATGAGCAGATCATCAAAACTCTAAATCTTGAACCTTAAACTCTAAGGGCAAAAAGCACAATGCAGGGAACGCTCTGCATCATAAATCTTGGCTCTATATGCACTCGCATAATATAAAACACCGTGTGTTCCCATTGCTCTTTTCGCACTTAGAGTTTAAGGTTTAAGGTTTAGACTTTCGAAAGACAACCATTTTTGATCATGAATTAGCTATATAGGCTATATATAAAAGAGGATGAGTATGCGGTCACGGCTACGCGTCGGTCAAGCATTCTACACCATCATATTCTTCGGTAGCCCTCTTTGTCATCACTGCGCATTTATTTTTTTCATCTAAGGTTGAACTAACCGCCATAACAACCGCTATAACTGCTATGAGCTCTTATCCTCGTTTGATCTGAAGAAACGACGGGTGCATGCTCATGCCA